GATCCCGGTTCCCACCCCGCTGTCGCTCTCCCCGCAGGCTACGGGCACGCAGCGCCCAGCACGGACGGCGGGAAGGTGTTCTGCATGCTCTACGCTCTGCTGGGCATCCCTCTCACCCTGGTCATGTTCCAGAGCCTGGGCGAGCGCATCAACACCTGGGTGCGGGCGGGGCTGCGGCGCCTCAAACGGCGCCTGGGCATGCGGCGGCCGGAGGTGTCCATGGCCAACATGGTGACCATCGGCTTCGTGTCCTGCGTGGGCACCCTGTGCGTGGGCGCCGCCGCCTTCTCGCACTACGAGAGCTGGAGCTTCTTCCAAGCCTACTACTACTGCTTCATCACGCTSACCACCATCGGCTTCGGCGACTACGTGGCGCTGCAGAAGGACCAGGCGCTGCAGACGCAGCCGCAGTACGTGGCTTTCAGCTTCGTCTACATCCTGGCCGGCCTGACGGTCATCGGCGCCTTCCTCAACCTGGTGGTGCTGCGCTTCATGACCATGAACGCCGAGGACGAGCGAAGGGACGCGGAGCAGCGGGCGCTGCTCGGACGGAGCGCCCGGCCCTGCCCGGCTCCGGCTCCGGCCGGTCCCGAGGGCTCCGCGGCCGTGGCGGTGCCGGCCGAGAGCGGWTTCCGTAATGTCTACGCCGAGGTGCTGCACTTCCAGTCGGTGTGYTCGTGCCTGTGGTTCAAGAGCCGCGAGAAGCTGCAGTATTCCATCCCCGTCATCATCCCCCGCGATTTGGCCGCCCCGGACGCGGACGCCGAGCGGGGTCGAGTTTCGCCCGCYCGCCGCGCCGCCGGGACCCCGGAGCAGCGCTGCTTCTGCCGCTCCCGCCGCTCGGCCATCAGCTCCGTGTCCACCGGCCTGCAGAGCCTGGCGGCATTCCCGGGATTCGCCAAGCGCCGCAGCTCCGTGTAGCCCGCCCCGATTCCCCGATCCCAATCCCTGATCCCGGATCCCGAACATTTTGGGAAGCGGCTCCAGACTCTGGAACGGCGCCGGAGCGGCGCTCGCTCCGCTTTGGGATTTTGATTTAAAACCTCTGGGATTTTGATTTTTGCGAAACCACTCCTTGAAAATGTGAAACTTGGGGGAACCGGTGGGATCGGGGGCACCTCGCACCGGCCCTTCCCGAGCTCTGGATCCTCGGGAATCTCCCGGGAAGCGCAGAAGGASCCACGGCCGCGGAAATCAGGCTAAGAGGGGCTTAGCCGGAGCTTTTCCGCATCATCCGGCCGGGAAAAGCGGCCGGGAAAAGCAGCCGGGAGTCACGTAGGCTGCTCCAAATGCTGCCATTCCCGGGATTTGGGGTCCTTTAACCCTTTCCAGGGGGCAGAGCCCTCGGGATTTAGGGGGGATCATCCAATGGGTGAAGGCTGATCCCATGGGATTTCCTGCCGAGGGCCCGGGGATGGGATTGTTATCCCCGGAAAGGGATTTTCGGGCACAATTTTCCCCTGGGAATCCCATTCCATCCTCTCCAAGGCTCCGGGGATGGAACTGTTCCCCCTGGGGAGGAATTTTGGGGGCAATCAGGGATATTTTCCCTTGGGATCTCCGTCTCCATCCTCGCCAGGGCTCCAGGGATGGAATCATTACCCCTGGGAAGGTGCTTCGAGGGAAAATCTGGGATATTTTCCCTTGGGATCCCCATTTCCATACTTTTTGAGGCTCCAGGGATGAAATCGTTCCCCTCAGGTAGAAATTTTGGGGTATTTTTTTCCTGGGATCMCCATCTCCATCCTCACCAAAGCTCCAGGGATGGAATTGYTCCCYTGGGAAGGAATTTTGGGATATTTTCCTCTGGAATCTCCATTTCCATCCTCTCCAAAGCACCAGGGATGGGATTTTTCCCCTCAGGGAGGTATTTTTGGGGAATTTACCCCTGGAATCCCCATTTCCATTCTCCCAAGGCTCCAGGGATGGGGTTGTTCCCCCTGGGAAGGAATTTTGGGATGTTTTCCCCTGGAATTCCCATCTCCATCCTCATGAAGGTTCCAGGGATGGAATCAATCCCCGGGGGGAGGAATTTGGGGGAAATCTGGGACATTTCCCCCTGGAATCTTCATTTCCATCCTCTCCAAGGCTCCAGGGATGGAATTTTTCCCCCTGGAGAAGAATTTGGGAAAAAATTTGGGATATTTTCCCCTGCAATTCCCATTTCCATCCTCCCAAGCCTTCAAGGATGGAATCATTCCCCTCAGGTAGGAATTTTGGGATATTTTCCCCTGGGATCCCCATCTCCATCCTCACCAAAGCTCCAGGGACGGAATTGTTCCCCCTGGGAAGGAATTTTGGGATCTTTTCCCCTGGAATTCCCATTTCCATCCTTTTTTAGGCTCCAGGGATGGAATCGTTCCCCCTGGAGATGAATTTGGGGCAAATCTGGGATATCCCACCACTTTTCCATCCCTGTCCTCCACACCCCTGGGATGCTCCCACAATTCCCCCGGGGGTCACCTCCGTCACCACCCCCTCATCCTTTCCCATTCCCACCCTTCCAGAACGGGATTTTCCCTTCCCAGCACCCAAAAGTCCCTCCTGGGACGTCAAATCCCTTTCCGGAGGGGAAATCCCTTAGATTTCTGACACTCGAGCTGTAGATCCGTGAGATTCCAGAGGGCGTTTACCACGCGCGGTAAAATCCGTGGAATTGCCCCTGCGGGAGGGGGAAACCCGGGAATGAATCCGGGAGGAATTCCCGCCTCTTCCTCACCGGGGGCGCCCCAATCCCATCGGGAAGGGACCCCCGGTTCCGATGCCAAAGCCGATCCGTCCCGCGGGGCTCGATTCCTCGGAGAGGGGAATAAAGGATTGTTGGAAGTTTGGGAATGGCTTGGATCTTCCCTCGGGATGTGGGGAGGGAAAATGGGATGGGAAAGGGAGATTCTTTGGGATCTTGGATTGTTCTCTTGGGATCCGGGAAGGAAAAGGGGAGGGGAAAGGAGGACCCTGATCCTTTGGGATCTCAGCTCCTTTTTTCAGGATTTGGGAGGGAAAGAGGGACAGGGAGAGGAGGATCCCAATCCTTTGGGACCTTGGATTCTTCTTTTGGGATCTGGGAGGGAAAAGGGGATGGGAGAGGATGATCCCGATCTTTTGGGATCTCAGCAATCACCTCCAGTCCTTCTCTCAAGATTTGGGAAAAGGGGATCCCGATCCTTTGGGACCTTGGATTCTTCTCTTGGGATCTGGGAAGGAGGGTCCTGATTCTGTGGAATTTTGGCTCCTTCTCTTGGGATCTGGGAAGGAATAGAGGATGGGAGAGACAGATCCCAATCCTTTGG